AGTGTCGGCCAACGAAGGGGACGCCTACCCGCTGGGAGCTCTGCCCGTCGGCACCCTGATCTGCAACCTGGAGAGCCACCCCGGGAAGGGAGCGCAGTACATCCGAGCGGCTGGTGCGGGGCAGGGCACGGGCTGGGCTGGGAGGGGAGGGAGGGCACCACGCTGGGTGGGCAGTGACAGGGAGTTCCTGTCCCCTCTTCCCCGTGTCAGGGGGCAAAACAGCCCCCCAGGGAGGTGGGGGCAGGTTTACTGCGTGGTGATGCCTCGAGGCCCTGTCTCCGGGAAGAAGGGTGTGAAGAACGATGGTGTGGGGCTTTGGGGAGTTCCTAGAAGGAGGATGTTCTTGCCATAGGGAGGGATACTTTGTATTGCCGCTCAGGGTCGGTCCCTCCTGTTTTTTGCCTGCTTCAGGGACCTGTGGGGTGCTGCTGAGGAAAGTGAACGGGACGGCCATCGTGCAGCTGCCCTCCAAGAGACACATGCAGGTAGGGAAGCCACGCTGACCCTGACCTGCCTGCCCGGGCACGCAGCTGTGCATTTCCAGGGAGGCCCAAAACTTCTTCCTTGTCCCCCAGGTGCTGGAGACCTGCGTGGCCACGGTGGGCCGCGTGTCCAACGTCGACCACAACAAGCGGGTGATCGGGAAGGCGGGGCGGAACCGCTGGCTGGGCAGGCGCCCGCACACCGGCTTGTGGCACCGCAAGGGGGGCTGGGCGGGCCGCAAGATCAAGCCCCTCCCACCCATGAAGAGCTATGTCAACCTGCCACGGATCGGGGCACAGGAGTGATGTTGAGGGCCAATAAAAGTGTTCTCCACACGACTGCTGTTGCGTTACTGCTGCCTTCTCTGCGCGGGTGCTTTCACCACGGGACAGTCCCGGGGGGGGAGTGGGATGGGCAGGAGAATGAGTGGGTTTGTGGGCTGCCTTGGCTGGAGGTGCGTGGGGGTCTTGCTGTTGTCTTGCACAGCTGGTCGAGCCTGACTGCGGGGCAGCCAGGCTTCTCCCCCAGCCTCCGCTTGTGGAGCC